AATAAAAGTTGCCTACTTAAATGTTTGACCTGTGGAGCTAATTTTCATAAGTGAAGTGACACCTCTGTGAGCTTGCAATTGCTTGGGTAGAACTCGAGTGGCTGTTGTTGCTTGAGTGATTAAACAGAGTTGGATTCAGTGGAATGCTATAGATTAAGCAATTTAACAGACCCATTCTTCGAATTTGGGTTTTGACTGTAGTGGTGGCGGATTTGGTGGATTTAGTGGAGGCCTGTGCTTCAATGGGTGGGTGATGTGGTCCATCCGTGAGGGTGGGCTATGGAGGAAAGCGAGTTGGGAGGTAACCGTCTTTTCTCTCTCATCATTTATGCTATGTTGTTGGGAGGTGGAGGTAATCGCCATGGAGGTTCACAGTGGTGGTGGGTGGCTGTGGAATAGGTTCTTCATCTCTCTTCTAGTTGGTGTTTAACCCCCTCTTCCTCCATCACTATCTTCACCACCACCACCACCACCACCATAGTCACCATTACATTTGGTGGTAGGCTGAGAACAGAGACGAGAGGGGGGAAAGGGAAAGAAAAAGAAAAAGAAATCATTTTGCCAAACAAGGGCAATATAGTAATTTTGTTATTTTGTTAACTGATGGGGGAGGTTAGTGGTATTTTAGATAATAAAGGGGGTGACATTGTGATTTCAAAAAAAATCAAAGGGTGTTAGTGTAATTTACCCTAAATATAATTTAAATGCTTGACTAAATAATTAAATTGAAATCATTTTTTAATGATGAGTAAAAAAGAAGAGAGAAATAAAGCTGTTTTGAGTAGTAAAATTTTATCGACTCTCTAATGTGTTCAATATTTATGCACCCCTAAGTTCACATGACAAGCACTGTTATTATACATAGGAAAACTTTATGAACACAAGTGCTAGAATTATTACAAACATACAATTTGCAGAGATCTTGAATAAAGCAAATCACTTCATGAAACTCAATTTAACAACGTTTAAGTAACAATCAAGTTGTTCATTATACGGAATAATGTTCATGCTCAAACCTATCTGGCACCAAGCAAAGAGGGAATAGGTGATTTGAAAGAAAAGAAAACAGCCGCAGCAGTAGCAGGAAAAAAAGGGCACCAGCAGTAGAGGAAGAAAGCGGCGGCAGAGTAGAAATCAACAATGATAAAGAAGATGTAGAGGAGAAGCAGAGGAAACAAGAATCAGCAAAGAATAAAGTGAGGATGGAGCAGAGAGGGAAGGTGCAGCTGTAGCAGCAGCGGCAGAGGAAAGGGCAGCCTGCCAAGGAGAAAAAGACGCAGAAAAGAAGAGTGGAAAGGGAAGAAAAGAGACTAGCTATCCGGGGTCTGTTTTGCAAATCAGTTTCTCCCTCCAAAAACGTATTAACGAAACCTTAATTCCTTTGCGTAGGTGTCACAATCCTAGTTGATCATGTGTTTGGTCACTTTAGTGGCCACAGGACTAGCAGGTGGGGACAATTACTAAATACATAATTTTTATATATTTATTGTACGTCGTATATAAGGATAAATAATTAACACTAAGGGGTTGGCCTAGTGACAAGGTCTTTGGGAGTGTGATCCCTCCGAGGTTCAAAGATCGAAACTTCAAAAGTGCTAACAATTCTTTGGGGTTATCGGACTAGGAGAAAATTCTTAAATTAACCGTGATGCACTTGTGGAAAATTCCTTGTCGAGCACCTATGCACACTTGGAGATTAGTCGGGTTTTGATTTGGACACCCCAGTGTCAATACAATATATATATATATATAAAGATAGATAATTATTGTAAATCATATATATGAATATCTAAGTCAAAGGTATAATTTTTGAAGTTTAAAGGAGGAGAATAAGTATACTTCACATTGTTTCTGTTTTATTATTGAATTCTAAGTCATTTTATTTAAACTTGTAATGTGGTTCATGTGTGTTTAAGTGTTGAGAAGTTTTCGGTGAGTGTGGTATCAGTGTTGAACTCAACACGTTACCTTCTTAGAAGTGTATGTTCTTCTTAGAGAGCTTTGTTGCATTTTAGTCCCCAATCTTTAAATTTTGTTGCATTTTTTTTTTTTTAAATTCTAAAAATACTCTGTGTTTCATTATTGATTTTGAACAACATTGACATTAGGGACTAAAGTGTGACGGATTGTATACTTTGAGGACCAAAATAAAAAATTAAAAGACGGAGGTTTCTGGCATCAACGCCATTCAAAATCATTAGCAAGAGGGTATTTTTGGATTTTTACATGAAGCCTCAACAAAATCAAAAGGGCCAAATACTCTTGTAGTCCCCAAAGTATGTATTTTGTTTCATTTTGGTGCTTTGTTACATTTTGGTCCCTAATCTATTAACTTGGTTGTATTTTTGTGCAAAATTTTGAAAAATACCCCTTGTCCTGTAATGGATTTGAATGGCACGGACATTAGATACTACAAATCGCATATTTTGGGGACCAAAGTGGAAAAATTAACATATTAAGGAATATAGTGTCACAAGTAGCATACTTTGAGGACCATTAGTGTAATTAGCCTCTAAAAAGTACGTAATGAAATTATTTTATGTTGATACTACTGTTGAATTTTAAAATTTAAGATTTTTGGATAAATATTGTTAAAATTCAAAATTTAATACTTGCATTCTACTAAAGCCACGTTTGTTTCTCAAGATAGGACAAGGGGTATAAATAATACCACGGCCCTCATATTTTTTTTATATAAAAAAGACAAAGATTATTGAGATTATAGTACCAAAGTTTTAAAAGCCTTTATTAAGGCTCGCCTTGAGCCAAGGCTAAGGTAAAACATATTGAAACTTTGATTTTTAGGTGATACTCCCAAAAAGCTTGCACATTACAGTTTGAGGCGTGTGCTTTAGCCATGCCTTGTATGCCTTTTGCACATAAACATTTGAGAAGTACGTATATGGGGAGCTTGTCTTGGGCTATTGCTAAGCATAGTCTAATACATTGTTAATTAAAAAAACAAGTCAATGGCCAACAATGAAAATCCTTAAAGTTAGGGATCGTGTGAGAAGCTCAATAACTTGAGCCAACAATGTTGCTTTCACTTTTGAGGACAATGAGGGCAAGCTTGCCTATAGTAGTTTTTTTTATTTCCTTAGTAAAGTATTTATGCATTTATATTTAAATTTAACATTTTTTTTACAATTTCAAAATATTTTATTTATTTTATTGAACATAAAACTTTATTGTTTAAAATTCTTACGTTTCGATGCCTCATGGCTTGTGCCTTGCCTCATTAGGGATAAAATGCCTTGTGTCACACATTATCCTTTAAAATCTTTGAGAAACATCATTAGATCATTATATAGTTGCACGAAATAGGAGTGGAAGTGTGGGAGTGTGGCCACTTAAAAGAGTCATAGTTTGGGAGCGCTTATGTATTATTTTTATTGATAATAATTTTAATTTATCTATATAAATTATTTTTTAATTTTTAATTGACATATATATATGTTATAAATAAATAAAGTATAGCAAATAAGGAATAGCAAAAATTTTGGTTTAAAAAAAATAACAAATGAAATAACAAATAAAAATTATAAAAATTATTTTAAGCATAAAATAAATGATATTATATATGATAGATTACTGGTTATTAAAAAATAAAAAATAAATTATATTAGATACGATAAATGATAGATGTAAAGGAAAATATAAATATTGATTTTCGAAGAGATGAACTTCTCTCCCCCCTCCCCTCTAAAAAAAATAGATTTATTTTATTTATTTTCTTAAAAAAATAAAATAAAATAATTTTGTTAAAATACCTCATTTCCCTAATTTCTTTTCTCCTACCTAAAACGCTAGCCTCTCTTCTCTTTCGGAGAGAAGAAAAAGACAAAAACAGAGATCTGAGAGAAAGAAGAAGAAGGCAAAGAGGGAGAAATCGAAAGAGAGAAGAAGACAGAGAGATCGAGAGTGAGAATGCGAGATTGTGATCGCGATCGCGATCGCTTCCTTCTTGGACAGATTCGTGTTTCTCTCGTATTAGAACTGTGATTCTTCCTCAGAATCATGATTCTTTCTCAAGTTCGTCTTCATCTTCCACGATTCATGTTGCTAAGGATTATTGTACTATGTTTGGTCAAAGTGGTATAAAGAATGAGAAGATAATCTGGAGGAAGGTTTTAGGTATATCAAGGGATTGTCATTTAAGTTATCTGATATTGCCATGATTAATAATCCTATGTTTGTGGCATTAGTCCTATCCGGCCAAACAAACCTAGAATTGGTAATCTGAAAGAGACTAAACCAGACATGGTGGGCCTCGTGTATTTTTGTTCAATTCCCCTCTCTTATCCCACGAAACACATGCACCCTTATTGTTACTTAAAATTATGATCATTTTCTTGCATTTTTAGCTTTGGATTGTAGCTTACTTGCAAATTTGAGTACTCGTGTGGTTGTAAAACAACACCTAAGACAATTGGTAAAGAACTTGCTTAAAGGTGGAGATTTAGCCCTCTTGAAAGGGTCCCAACGAAGCTTAAGCTATAATCTATATTGAATATTTTATTGAGAAACATCACACGATTTTGGCTAGACAGCTGAAAGGGTGGTTCATGATCCTATAGCTTTATATGCATCTAGTGGAAGAGTATGAATCCCGTTGTTAATTTGGATATGGGTTGACGGATCCTTAACTTTATTAAATTGCATTAGTTAAGTTGGGAAAAGTCAAGGTGGAGTAAATTGGAGACACATCTACCCTCTTGAAGTGTTCTTCAAAGATTATGCAAGGTGGGAGGGTTTTACCTTCTGGGATGATGTTATTTGTATATTCACCTTTTCATTTGCAAAACCTTTTGCTTTGTTTGTTTATACCTTCTTTGATTAAAGGATTTCTACTCATTGCCCTTTGGCACATTATAATTTGTTTCTTAGCAAAAACGCGAGAAAAATGTTTGATCTATTTTTGTAGACAAGGTTGCAAACTTTTGTAATTCCTTGAATATATGGTATATCTTTGATCACAACAATTTAGCGTGTTATCTTTCAGGATATTATTTGGCACGTTTTTTAAGGAATATTGCACAGCGAAAATGATACAACGCACTGCAATTTCTACTCCGCACTCTGGTATGGAATAAATTGAAGATCTTGTTCATTAATAGGGTCTGTTTCGTAATGTTTATGTTTACAGTTTTCTGTTTATATTTATAAAAAAAAATAAAAACTATAAATAAAAACTCTTTTGATGAAATTTACTAAATTTTTGTAATCACACAAAAAATTTGATTTCAGTTGCTTAGGAAAAAAAAAAAAAAAAAGTTTTCATTCCTTCTTCAATCTCCTATTCCTTTTGGCCACCACCACCTATTGCTCATCACCACCAATAACCACCACATTCGGCCCCTACCCAACGGCCATCGTCACTTAAGGCTTCCTTCGACCACCACATTTGGCTACCTCCAACCACCTTCGACCACCAACTCTTGTTAGAATCCACCTTCAGTCACCATCTTCAGTCATCACATCTAACAGCTGGCCACCATCTCTAACATCACAAACCACCTTGGGCCAATAACTCCTGCAATCTTCAACTACATTTGATCACCACCAACCACTGATGACAACCACCTTTGGAGATCGGAACCCACCTCCAATGGCTAACAACCTTTTTTGGCCACCATATCCATTCATCGACAACCTCCTTCAGCCACCACCTTTCCTTGATCATTGCATTCACTTGTTTTTTAAACACCTTTATTGCAAACATATTTTTTTGTTTTATTTTTTACCAAAAATAAACAAACATATTTAATGTAATCAAATCATGGGTCTTGAATGGTTAGCTTATGCATTTGTTCATAAAAATAAAAAATAAAGTTTGTGTTTATATTTTAATGTTTGGTTTGTGAATCCAAACCACAATCAAATGATTATCTTTTTCATGTTTGGTGACTGTGACCTAGTCCATTTGTGTTTCCTAGGTCAAGCTTTTGTTATTTTAAAAACAAAGGGAGAGACAGAAAGGATTATCAGGGAATTGGGTGACGGATGCATAATGCTATCAAATGAGAGGTATGTACGTAAGACCATCTCTAAAGAGTGCCTTGTATTAGTGTAATTTCTTTTCAGCAAGTGAAGAAAAGTTGATGGAGAAGTACAAAGGGTAGCATCCCGTAATTATTCAACTTACTTGGAAATTACGAGTGTAGTAAACTCTTCCTAGTTGTCTATATATTCATATGTTATATGGACTCTTCTAACTGTATGAAATAGCCATGTCAGACACTTGTTTCTTCGGTAAAGGTATATGTTTGATGTGTAGTTGGACATTCAACCAACAACCATATATAGAATTTCGAGTTTAGCATCTAATAATGCATCAAGCTCTATGTTATGCATGAAATGCTATTTAACATCTTGTACATATATTCCATCCTATAAACTAAAAGCAGTATATTAAGAAATGTAAATAATTTTCAATGCCCATGTCTTCTTGGGCTGAAGAATTAGATGAATTCGAAACTTAAGACACATATTTGCTCCCAACACTCACACCCAACATGAATAAATTTCAAATAACATAACAAAAGGTTCTCTCTCATAGAATTACTATATGAAGTGTGTGTTAGTATTTGAATACCTATCACTGGTCTTATGATCACTAAGGAGTGGACCTCACAACGTTAAGGCATAAGGCAGGCTCACCTCGATGGTGGTCAACCAAGTACTTCACAATGGCTCATTAAATTTCCCTTGCCTAAGTCATGGATTACCCTCGCACCACCACGTGAACAGATACTCCACTCTGCAAGCATCACTTGCTTTGCAAGAACATTCCTCACTCTGTGAAGAAACTCTCTTCAATACCAAAGTCTCCACTCTACAAGCACATCCCTCACTCTGCAACCATCTACTCGCCTTATTACCACCGCATTCACTTAGCCTTGCGAAGGCTCCAACTTCGAAGTGGCACCTTGATGTTATACAGCCTGCCTAAGTTAAGAGTTGGGCCTAGGGACCCTCTTGGGGTCAGTGCCTAGTCATGGGATGTCGTAGCAACCCATGACCATGCAAGATCACTAGGGACTTACGAAGACCAAGATTAACCACATCATGTGATACATTGGGAAGTTTATCATACCTACCTGTGCGGGAAATCCCACATCGGTCTGTGAGGAACTACTTTCCCACCTTATAAGCAGGCTGGCTCCTCTTACCTTGCATAGGCCTTTTCCCCCAGTGGGGGAGGAACAAAATCGTGCGGTCAGAATGCCAAAGCGAACAATATGTGCAAGGCACAGGGACCGATGGCTTTATTTGGCGCCGTCTGTGGGAACTCCCTCCGGGGTGACCGGAGCCAGCGCGGCTGGGGGCTAATGTGCGGGAAATCCCACATCGGTCTGTGAGGGACTACTTTCCCACCTTATAAGCAGGTTGGCTCCTCTTACCTTACATAGGCCTTTTCCCCCAGTAGGGGAGGAACAAAACCGTGCGGTCGAAATGCCAAAACGGACAATATAAGCAGGCTGGCTCCTCTTACCTTGCATATATTGTCCGCTTTGACATTCCAACCGCACGGTTTTGTTCCTCCCCCACTGGGGGAAAAGGCCTATGCATATTGTCCGCTTTGGCATTCCGACAGCACAGTTTTGTTCCTCCCCCACTAGGGGAAAAGGCCTATGCATATTGTCCGCTTTGGCATTCCGACAGCACGGTTTTGTTCCTCCCCCACTTGAGGAAAAGGCCTATGCAAGGTAAGAGGAGCCAGCCTGCTTATAAGGTGGAAAAGTAGTCCCTCATAGACCGATGTGGGATTTCCTGCACACTACCCATTAGTACCTCGTAAGTTGTAGCACACCCACTTAGCAAAACCTAAAAGAGTGAGTTAACCTCTATGGCCCAACTTTTTGGTCTCCCCCTCTATATGCTAATTATAAGCAAGCTAGCAAGCAAATATCATTCAAACAAGGAGCTTCTCCAGGCATCAGAGGCTCTCCTCTCTCTGTGCTATTATTTCCTTCTTTGATGTTCTCTCTCTCTCTCTCTTTCTCTCTATTTTGAGGTTGTCTTAGCTTTCACTCTCTCCACCTTTGCTAGTTTTGTGCCATCTTAGTGTCTATCGTAATTTCTAAAAGTCCACAACTAATCACCTCGCATACCATAACCCATAATATACTCTACGCGAGAAGAGTGGTTACTCACTAAGCATGGCTCGTTCGAGTCTTTCTGGAAAAACATGTTCAAACTCAATCTCCCCATATCTTCACTACCCACAATGTGCAAAATACTTATTTCAACTTTTGAGCTATGTTACATGGACTCTTCAAATACCCGTGTTAGATTCCCGACACCTACACAAAGATGTGGGATATGTGTCTAATACTTTTCATCAAACATTTCTTATATGTTTGTATTTAACTCTATTATTATGTGTATAATTGTTATAAAATGAATAAAATGTTTTTTTGATAATGTATGTTATGTATAACATCATTTTATCTCATATTATAGATTAAAAATATTATTAAAAAAAAAAGAACCTTTTTTGCCGAGTCTATGTATCTTTAAATTTGAGGTTTGATGGGCCAGACCTCTAAATACGCACCTGTACCCGAGTCCATGTAACATAACTTTTGAGTTGAGCACTCAACCCTTATAAGATATACATGAGTCCTCTCTTTTCAAATATTTCACAAAGGGCATGTTTGATTGGGTGGATTAGAGTATGGGATTGGGATTATTAATCCCAATTATCTTATGTTTGTTTTAACATTTTGGTTTAGGATTATTAATCCAATGGATAATTAATCCAACAAATTTGTAGAATTATTAATAATGGGGTAGGGGTGGGATTATTAATCCAATGAATATTAATCCAATGAATATTAATCCAATTGGATAGTGAATACCACACTAATTTAATAGGATTATTAATACTTCACTATTAGTTTTGTGAATCAAACATGACCAAAAAGTATTAAGGAGTTGCTTTCTCTATTGCATCTAAGCAACTACTAGGCATTGAACACATCAACGACTACTTTTTTTTTGGCTGGGCGCTATTTGATTTCAAAGAATTTTTGAAAATTGCTCACAAATAAGGCAATGATAAACTATCTCCTCCATTTCCTTGCATATAAATGTTTAATCTAGAAGCAACTTACTTTAGAACTCAAATCAACAAGCCTAAATTACTTTGGATTTTGTGGCTTTTGTCAAAAAACTATGCATTGTTGAGCCTTTGTGTTAACAAATTATACTTTTGGGACTATCGGTGATCTAACATGATATTAGAGTTCAGGTTAAGAGAGATCTTGTCTACAAGTCTTTGCGACTGCATCATGCTTCTATTCGTGTTGGGATGATTGCATCTCCACTTGCAAGTCAGGGTTGCTAAGCGGTTTTACTACTTCCATGGAGACCACTTTTTCAACTTGTCTAGTTTAAAAATTATAATTCATTACATACATTTTTCGAACATTTTGGCGATGCATCTTGAACCCTGCAAACACGGCCTATGTGATAAAGTTCCTTATAATAACAATGTTCTATATTCTTTGAAAAGCCACTTGTGCATTCTAAATATGTTTTGTAGCCATCTTGTATAGTTAGTTCTTAGGGGTGTTGAGCTTTTCTTGAATCGATTTTTGAATTTTGTTCAAAATTTTGAATGCGTATAGGAGTTTTGTTTTTGGTTCTTAGAGCATGTTACATAGGTGGCCACCCCTTGGTGTCTTTTAATTTTATATATTCTATACCTATTAATCGAAAAAGACAACTAGATTATTTGCTGTGGTGGACTCTTTTCTACCTCCGCTCCAGGGGCTTAGGCTGAGTGATTAGTTATCTATCCCCCTTCTTGTTTATTGTTGTCATGGAAGTTTTGAGCATAATAATTGTGAGAGTTATGTGTGGGGGAGAATGATATTAGGTTAGGTGGGTAAATCATAAGGGACACTAGTATTGCTTTCTCATTCGTTGTATACTGGTAATACAATAATTTTTTGTGAAGTTCGTGATGAATAGTTGAGGCATCTTTGGTAAGCAAACAAACAGCCGTATACTACAAGGATGAAATCATCCTTATAGTGGATTTAGGATATTCAGGGTAGGGGTGTTCAAATAATCGACTACTTGATCAACCCGATCCGGATCGACCAACCTATCTCTATCACGGATGGTTTCGTTGATTTCAATGGTCTGTTGTGGTTTAAATCATTCAATTTTCTTGAGATTCAGTCAAGTATCGATTTTAATACAAACGAAATCGTTTAACCGAACCCGATCGTATTATATATATAGATATATCCACGTGTTGCCATTTGATAGGCTAATAACAGTATCCTTACCTTCCCAAGACATTTACTCTTATCACTCCAACGTTGCCATTTGACAAGCTAGTAATAGTACTCTTACCTTCCCAAGACATTGACTCTTATCTCTCCAATGTTGCCATTTGATAGGCTAGTAATAGTGCCCTTACCTTCCCAAGACATTGACTTTTGTCACTCCAACTTTGCCGTTTGATAAGCTAGTAATAGTACCCTTACCTTCCCAAGACATAGACTCGTATCACTCCAACTCATCTTCCCAAGACATTGATTGACCCTAATCACTCCAGCTCATTATTTCAGACTCTATATTCAATACATCACCGTCTCTTTCTCTCCCTCATCGTCTCTCATTGTCTCTCTCCAATTCAATTCACTCTATCTATATGCAATTCAATAAATAACTATATTCAATTCTCTCTCTCTCTCTCTCTCTCTCTCTCTTCAGTTCAGCAGATCACTCTCTCTCTAATTTAATACATCACGCTCTCTTTTGTGTATTCAATTCATCATTAATTCTTCCATCCTCCCTATCAAAAACCCTAACAAATCAAGACCTTTGAACTCATAAAATTTCTCTAAACTCTCTTTGTCTCTCAACCCCTCAAGCAAGGAGATCTTAGTTTTAATTTGCATTTTTGAAGATGTTATCAACAGAGGAAAAGAAAGGAAAGCATTATACTTTTGGAAGTTCTCTTAGATCTAGATGAGAGCCATTGTATTATAGGGCTTTATCACTTATATTTTTGTTTTTTCTCTACTTTTTTTTTTCTTTTCTTTTTTTTTTATAGGCATTTTCTCTACTCTTTTCATAGATCTATGTATGTATATATGTACATATATGTATGCATATGCTAAAGTTTAAAATGGAAGGGAAAAAGG